GAGTCTTCCAGGTTCGGTCGATACCCCAAGAACTCAATGTCCAGGCCAGTTGCTGCAACACGCAAGAGGCTTTAATGAACAGGAAACGTTTGTGCAAACGGGCTCCTCCAGCACGCAGGCTAGAGAGAAGCCCCCCCCACAGGTGTTTTTAAATGCAACCCCACAAGCTTAGGGAGGGGTGGGACCCTCTGTCCATTGAGTACGTGACCCTTGGAGGCCGCATGGTCTGCTATTAGGGTCAGCAGACTTTAGGGCCTCAGGGTTTGCTAATTAATCTTGTCTGGGCAAACCAGAGTTGCAGCTATCTCTTTGTTTCCTAAGGACCCTATTTACCACCTGTTGACTCACAGGAAAGGAGGGGCAGTGTGAATTCTTGTCATCTCAGGGCCTGGTGAGAGGAAGCTAGCAAATTCCAAGGAACAGATATTGGTTTCCAGGTCAGTCCATCATTAACATTACTTTTTTGGTCTTTCACCTATGTCAGAGAAAATTCCTGGGTTCTGGATCCCAGGAGGTTGTTTAATAAGGGCACCCTTTCTCTGAAACAAATACCTACTGTGTGGGGAGCCAGTATAGACGTCTGAAAACACCACTTAGACTCTTCTTCAATGCCAAAGCCAGACGACCCCCCCCTTCTGCCTGCACCAGTGTGAGCTAGCAAGGGTGACCTCCACTCCTGTCCTTCCCTGTGATTACCTCACCCCATTCCCAGGGCCACTAGGACATCAGGCCATGAAGGGAGGGCAAGCACAGCCCCTGACTCTGCAACCTTCTGTCCTTCTCTACCTCCTTTTCCCAAATTCTCTGTCAAGGTATTCATGGATTTTAAAGCATGAAAAAGCAAGGGGGTTAGGTTATTTAGCAATTGTTTTTGGATACGTTCGGAAAAGCGGCAGACTGAAAGCAAAACAAAACTTTGTCCAGTGAGCTCCATCTGCATCGTAAAACTTCCCTGCCCCAGCCTAAACACATGGCAGGCAGAAATAAGCCTAAGTGCCTGCTCTAAAGGCTGTGCAAACCCTCTGGGCTCACCAACAAAGCCTCTGCAGCTCCCCTAGCGGCCTCCCAGCCAACGCGCCTTTGTAGAGCACAGGCGTTCCGCTCAGTATGGCCCACCAGAGGGTGCCAGTGTTCCTCTGAAGGAAGACGCTGAGTCTGCACAGATGCAACCCTGAATTTCAAGAAGGCGACAGCAGGGGGCAGCAACATGCACAAGTATTAGCTTCCTTCAAAAGCATAAATTTACCTATACTTGCAGCCCAAGAATTTTTAGATTGAAGCTATTTCGTATTCCTGTAGTTTAACTGTAATCTTGTCTTAGCTGTTTTTTCACGAGTTTTTTGAAGACCTAAGTTACTACCTCTCCCTCATGTACTTTTTAATTTTTATTTATTTCGGGGAGAAATTCATAGGTTCCCATCGTGCACGTAGAAGTCAGAGAACAAGTTGAAGGAGTCAGTTCTCTGCTTTCTACCATGTGGGTCCTGAGACTTAAACTCAGTTTGTTAGAAATAGCAACAGGTGTCTTTATCCACCAAACTTTCTTTTCTGGTATTTTTAAGTGTTTAATATCACCTTTCTTTGCCTACTTTGCTTGGATTTTAAAGTGCTCTTCAAAAACATATCATTTAAACCAAAACAAGAAAAGAACCACATGTGTACGCAGAGCAGTGGTGCATGCCTGTAACCCGGGCATTTGGGTGGCTGAGGCATGAGACCTGGGAATCGGAGACTAGGCTGGGCTGCTTTCAGAGCCAGTTAGGGAACCCTAGTGCAACAGGACCCCTAGGCAGCCTCTCCAGGCCCTTTGATTGGCCTCCATCTCACAGGCCTCAGTTAACATGGGCCTCCCGGAAGCTCCTGGCTTCCTTTGTTTTACTTCTTCCTGGATACCACACCTGAGGACTTGGAAACACAGTAAGTGAACCCATTGTAGTTATCGGGTTTTTTTTTTTTTTTTTTTTTTTTTTTTTTTTTGGTTTTTTTGTTTTGTTTTGTTTTTAAATGACGAGCTAGAGCTATGTGTGTATATAAGCATTCAAGAGATTGAGGCAGGAGGATCATGAGTTTAAGACCAGCCAGAGCTACACAGTGAGACTATCACAATAAAACCGAGGCCAGGGCCTAGAGAGGTTAAGGATACTGGCTGCTAGCCGGGCAGTGGTGGTCCATGACTTACTTTTAATCCCAGCACTTGGGAGGCAGAGAAGCAAGCAGATCTCTGTGAGTTCAAGGTCATCATGGCCTACAGGGTGAGTGCCAAGATAGGCTCCAAAGCTACACAGAGAAACCCTGTCTCAAAAAAGAAAAAGAAAAAAAAAAAAAAAAAAGGATACTGGATACTGGCTGTTCTTGTAGAGGACCCTGGTTCAGTTCTCAGCACCCACCCGAGTCTCTCGACCCTCTCTAACTCCAGTTCCAGGGGATCCAGTCTCTCCCTCTGCAGGCAATGCACACACATGCTGTGCATACCGACAGGCAGGCAAAACACTCATTCACATAATACAAAAATAAATTTTGAAAAAAAAAAAAAAAAAACCCCTTTGTACTAAAGACATGGAGAAAACAGGCCAGTAAGACGCCTCAGCCAGCAAACGAGTCTGACAGGCAGAGGTGCAGAGGTGTATCCCAAGACCCCAAAGTAGAAAGAAAGAACTGTCTCCCCAGAGCTCTTCTCTCACCTCTGTATGTGCCCCTGACTTTAATAATAATAGCAATATAGCATTTCAATAAAGGGCTGGAGACATGGCACAGCGGTTAAGAGCACTGGCTGTTCTTCCAGAGGTCCTGGGTTCTACTGAGTTTTCATGACTTGATATTCCACGCAGGTGAGGGATTTCAAACTGGAAACTGAGATTACCCAGGTCCAAGGTTACAGAAGAAGCCAGTAGACTCCAGGACACATGCCTTTACTCTCGCAAAGTGAGAGGGACCCGGGCACATAGCTCACCTCCTCCTGCCTAGGCCTGTCCCCAAGGGCAGTGCCATCCTCATCAGAGGCAACGGGTCAACACCAATTCACACCAGCTGTGCTGAGCTGCAGACAGGCTACAGTACGGCTGCAGCCTGTGTCAGTGGGATCCACACGAGTTAGCAAAGCACACATCCCAAACCACAGTGTCCGGGACCCAGAGTCATGGCAACAGGTGCTGTACTTGAAAAGAAGGGGTCTTAGGAATAGCTCAACGGCTCCCAGCACCCCTTCCTCTGGCCTCCTTGAGACATGACATCATGTTTCTCTCTCCTTCCAACCAGAGCCTATCAACAGTCTGCTCAGACTGGAAACAAGGCAGAAGCGTGTGTCACACCAGGCAACCTAAGAGTTTCTCTCCGTAGAACTGTCAGCTTCAGGCCGCCTTTGAGGGACAGGGCCCTGCCCTGAGCACTGCCGAGGTAACTTCTGGGCTTTTCCTCCTATTCCATCAGGTTGTTTCCTGACAGAGATTCACCTCACCCAGTTAACAGGAGTCCTAGGCCAACAAGGGAGTGGGGACTGACTTTGGGGAGGGACCAGGTTCAGCCACCCACCCCAAAAATAACTCCCAGCAGAAGCAGTGGTGAGGGGCAGGAAAGGAATCTACTCAGTAGAACTGCATCAGGAAACACAAGCCAGAGCACCCTTAGCTTGTCTTTGGAAGCACTAAAAAGAGCCCCAGGGTTTTACAGGGGAAGCACCAAGGGGTACGCATTTAGGCAGTCTTACTCAGGCCATGGCCTGGCTGGTGGCTATCTCAGGCTCTGAGATATCCTGCTAATTCTCAGGGAAATTGTTATTGCTGAAAGGAACAATCCAGTTTCCGTCATGGAGTGATTGTTCCTGCTTGAGGGGTGCAGGCCTACTTGGCAACCTCATATACTGGAAGACTCACTATTCCTGCTGCTTTGAAAACATCTGAGTTACTTCTGTCTTCAGCCCTGAAAGTGTATGCTAAATTTAATGCTTACGAACCTTACATGCTGTGTGCAGGACAGATGGAGGTAAAGGACGCACAGGCCATCTGGCTGGGTACTGTCACCACGCTGATTGCCAGGGCTGCTGTGTCTGATCTGGCTGGCTAGACAAGGGTCCCCTTGTTCCCTCACCAGTGAGTCCACACACATCTCTCCCAACATTGACTTAGCCACTGTGCAAGGCAGGTGCTGTCAGGGACTATGGCTCTACTTTATCAGCTAAAACTTCATGGTGCCAGCAGAGCATGCCCAGAGGCATTCCTGTCCATCACTTTAGTGACCACAAACTGGAGCCTGCTTAGAATGGCCTAACCCTTACACGAATAGCCACACTGAATGAAATCATCATTCTGCTTTGTTCAGGGAGATCATTGCTTTGAAAATGATGCCAATGCTCTTTGCCTGCTGTAGGTAATAAATTCCCCTCCACTTGTGTGTCTTCCCTGTGCTTATATGGTTGCTTTGCACCCAGCAGGATGCAAGCCCATTGTGCTCACTTATAAAAGGTATACAAGGCTACTTTGCTCTCCTGCTAGAACCTCCAAAACAGGTGGTGAGGGATGCTGTCTTAGTTTGGGTTTCTATTGCTGCAAGGAAACACCATGACCAAAAAGCAAGTTGGGAAGAAAAACTGTTTATCTGGCTGACACTTCCACATTGCTATTCATCATCAAAGGAAGTCAGGACAAAAACTCAAACAGAGCAGGATCCTGGAGGCAGGAGCTGATGCACAAGCCATGGAGGGTGCTGCTTACTGGCTTGCTTCCCCTGGCTTGCTCAGCCTGCTTTTTTATAGAACCCAGGACCACCAGCCCAGGGATGGCACCACACACAATAGGCTGAGCCCTCCCTCATTGATCACTAATTGAGAAAATTGTTGGGAGCCCGCCTTGAGTCACAGCTAGCCTTGAGTCACATCCTCTCACAGAGTTGTTTACGCCATACCTCTAGTTGAGCCTTATCTTGGCAAAATAGGAAACGGCTCAAAGGGCAGTCTATTCCACTTACTTCAGGAACTGATATAACCAGATGCCAGGAACTGAGATAAGCAGATGTTTTCCAAGTAAGACCACAATGGTCTGAGATAACTGCCAGAGCCCCAGAGTCAGCACAGTTACCCCTCCCTACTTCCTCCCTGCTTTGCTTTAAAAACCCCTCTTTGTGCCTAATAAAGTGAGACCTTGACAAAGTGAGACATTGCTTGGTCTCGTTCCTTCTTTCTCACCCATTTATTTTCAGGTTCTTGCCCACCTCCCCACGAATAACTTGGTCCCTCAGGTCGGAGCAGGTGGTGCCCAACGTGCGGCTCGAGGTATGGGCTTTTACCGAACGGAGTCCCCCAACACTGAAGAGAATCATCGGTAGCACGCACCGAGAAGACTGAGGGACCTGCAAGCGGCAGCCCTGCTCTCAAGAGCAGGCTGATTCCTGGTGAGTTCCCCCTCGTTCGGTTCCATAATAATGGGCCAACATTTGTCTGAGGAGGTTAAGTTCATTAGGGACTTTAAGTCCTCCTTTCGGGAAAGAGGAATTAGAGTTTCATGTAAAGAGTTAAGTTTCTTTGCTTTCGGGGCATCGCATTGCACAAGCTATCCTTGGTTGTGGCCTTTATTTGGCCTGGAAGGCAGATTTTTACAATCGCTGTAGGGAACTTCTGGGGTGGGGGGAGCCTAGGCCCAGAGAGCAAAGGCAGGACAGGACCTAGAGGCCCTCAGTCTTAGGAGCTGCTTCTGTGGCTAACCCCCAACCAAGTGTATGGAAAAATTAATGCAGCTTGTCAGAAACTGGTGAATTTATTGGGATTTTTTCAGATTTTGGATGCTCATAATTTAAGAGTTATCTATAGCAGCCACATTACAAGAGATTTCAATTAAGGATGTTTTAATTCAAAAAACTAATCTTGGCCTAGAAAAAAGGAGGGCTAAAAGATGTATGTATATGTATGTATGTTCTGTATGTATGGTGTGGCCACACAAATGCGTGTATAAAGTGTGATTATGAATGTGTGAATCCCAACAATAGGTACTACTTGAATTGCTTGAGATAAAATAAATAAATAAATAAATAAATCATCAGGGTTGGAGATCTGCATCTCCCATGACTGTCTTGCAGAGTGAAACAGTAGGAAATGGTCAAAGCCAGAATAGCCTGAGAGCCAGAGAAATCTATATGGATGTCTCAAAAGAGTTTAGCAGAGGAGAGAATATAAAAATCTTCCTAAATTTTGGTAGTTAAAAAAAGAAATTGAAAGAATGGAGGTTAATGTAAGATTTGAGAAAATCTATTGAAAGGAGGCCTCAGGAAATTGTAACCCTGTTAGGCCCTCCACATAGAAAGGTGTCAGTGAAGATGCAAATGAGACCAGGTCAGCTAATGAAAGCTTTACAAGTCAGAGTAGAAAGTTTTCAAAGAAATTAGGCCTCAAAAATTACAAATTAGAAAAGATAGCTTATAAACATTGAATAATTTTCAAAAGTTATTAGGAAATATTCCAATGGTTACATCCTTTTTTAAAAGCACCTACTGGTGATTTGAAACCTTTAAGTGATATCCTGAAAGGAGATAGTGATCCCAATTCATCTAGACAGCTAACTGAAGAGAGTAGACAAGCTCTCTTACAATCGGAGAATGCAATCCAGCATCAGCAGATATCCTGTATTGAGTATGCAAAACCATGGGAGGCTTATGTACTTCCCACACAGCATAGTCTGACTTCTGTCTTATGGCAAGGGGGACCATTGTTTTGGTTGCATTTACCTGTTTCCCCAGCCAAAATGTTAAATCCTTATGTTTGAAGCAGTAGCTTATGTGGTACAAAAAATGCCATATGGAGTCTAGGAGATATTTTGGCAGGAAACCAAATATAATACATGTTCTCTATATCCAACAAGTTGTTTGGTTATTTCAAAACAATGATTCATGGAAAATTGCTTTTACTCAGTTTTTGGGAAAAAATGATAATCAGCTCAGACTGTTGAAATATGTGTTAATTCATCCTTTTGTATTCCCTAAAATTGAAAGGCGTAATCTTGTCAAAAATGCTATATTAGTTTTTACTGATGGTTCTTCCAATGGAAAAGCAGCTTATGTTATTGATGGGAAAAGAATATGTAGTACAGACAGATCCATCTTCAGCTCAGATAGTTGAGTTACAAGCTGTTGCAATAGTTTTTTGGCTTCTAATAAATGATTCATTTAACTTATATACTGATAGTCATTATGTTTTCAGAGCTCTTCAAGTTTTAGAGATAGTTCCATACATTGGAACTAATAATAATCAGGTTAAAATGCTGTTTGAGCAAATTCAAAGTGCCATTCATTATAAAGAGTCACTGTGCTTTGTGGGTCATATAAGAGCTCATTCAAACTTCCTGACCCACTGGTTAAAGGTAATGAGTCAGCTGATAGACTGACAGAAATGGTCACTTTGTCTCAGGTGGAATTGGCTCAGCAGTCACACAGCTTTCATCATCAAAATAGTAACTGTCTAAGAAAACAGTTTGGTTTAACTACAGAGACGCAGAAGGCCATTCAGGTTACTTCAAACCCTATATCCTGGATGGCCTCTCCACTAATTTGTGGGGACCAGATCTCTTGCAAGAGATGGGAGTTGTCTTTACTACCCAAACCCTCGCCCAAGACACTCCACCAAGAAACAAAGCTCTCTGGATGATGTGTAAAACCAGCTGGGACAAAGGACAAGGGGCTAAGTAAGCTGGATTTCTAACATCCAATGTAGATGGAACAATGGCTCTTAACCACAGAAAAACTTCTGGTGACTTCCCAGCTAGTTCAAGAACAATTGGAGGCAGGACATGTGATCCCCTCCACCTCTCCCTGAAATTTCCCCATATTTGTGATTAAAAAGACTTCAGGAAAATGGAGATTGCTCCAGGATTTGAGGGCCATTAATTCAACAATGCAGCCTATGGGAACTCTTCAGCCCGGCTTGCCCTCACCTGTGGTTATTCCTAAAGATTGGCATTTAATTGTTATTAATTTAAAGGACTGGTTCTTTTCCATTCCGCTGCACTCCCGAGATAGCCCCAGGTTTGCATTTAGCCTTCCTTCGATTAATTTTCTAATCAGAAACACGCCCTTCGTTTTCAATGGGTGGTGTTCCCCCAAGGAATGGCTAATAGTCCGACAATATGCCAGTCTTATGTGGCTGCCTGCCTGGATCCTATCAGGTGCAAGTTTTCTGATCTTTACATTATCCATTATATGGATGATATTCTGCTGGCAGCACCTGCTGAGGAGAGATGTCTTGAAGCGTTTGCTAAATTGCAGATGCTCCTGGAGGCTCGTGGATTTATTCTGGCCCCAGAGAAGGTTCAAAAGAAACCTCCTTACACCTATCTAGGCCATTGAATCCAACAGACCGGCCTCCGGCCACAAAGGCTCCAAACTGATTATTCAAATTTAAAAACTCTTCAGGATTGGCAAAAGTTTTTGGGAGATGTTCAATGGATCCGCCTCTCTGTCTATTAAAACAGGGGAGCTTAGACCAATATATGATATTCTTCCAGGGGATCCAACCCCGACCTCTCCCAGACAAATTACACCAAGGCGAAAGAGGCCATCAAATTACTATTAAAAAGCATTTTTAAAAAGCCCATCTTTGCCGCCTAGATTAGGAACAGCCTCTTGTTGTAGTTGTACTTTCCTCCAGCTTTTCACCCACTGCTGGTTTTGGCAAAATGGCCCTATATATTGGATTCATTTGTCAGCCTCCTCTAAGAAGGTGGTGTCATCATCAAAATAGGAATAGTCTAAAAAAAAAAAAAAAAAAAGAGTTTTGTTTAACTACAGAGACTGCTCAACAAATTGTCAAACAATGTGATTTGGGCCCACAATATTTACTAGTAACTAATAGAGGAGTAAATCCTCAGGCCTGCTTCCCAATCATTTATGGCAAATGGATGTTACTCATATTGCAAAATTTGGCAGATTAAAGTATGTGCATGTGACAGTCGATACATGTTCAGGCTTCTTAATGGCCACTGCACAAACTGGAGAAGCCAATAAGCATGTGATAAATCACTGTTTAAAATGTTTTGCTTACATGGGAGTTCCAAAAAATTATAAAGACAGACAATGGATGTTGATATACTAGTAGAGCATTTCAACATTTTGTGCCCAATAAAAAAATTAAACACATAACAGGCATTCCTTATAATCCTCAACAGCAAAGAATTGTGGAACATGCTCATAGCTTCTTAAAAATGCAACTTATAAGGAGAAGGGAGTCATGTCCCCAGTCTTCACATGACACATTAAATCATGCACTCTTCATTTTAAATTTTTTGAATGTGGATGCCTATGAGCAATCTGCAGCAGACAGATTCTGATATGATGGAACTCAAGAGACTTTTACTCAAGTCAAATGGAAAGATCCATGCATGAGATTATGGAAAGGGCCCAACCCTGTCCTAATATGGGGTTAAGGGGGGTCAAGGGCATGTTTGTGTTTTCTTGCAGGAAGAAAATGAGGCCCGGTGACTGCCAGACCATTTGGTGAGATGCGTGGAACAGACGAAAACCGGACCTGAGACCTCGGAAGCATAATTACCTCCTCTCTCTCTCTCTCTCTCTCTCTCTCTCTCTCTCTCTCTCTCTCTCTCTCTCTCTCTCTCTCTCTCTGTCCTCTCAGGGGTCATTCTCTAGAACAGGCAAGGCTTAAACCTATTGTTTTTACAACAAGGAGGAATTTGTGCAGCACTCAAAGAGGAATGTTGCTTTTATGCTCATAAGACTGGCTTGGTAGAAGACAGCTTAGATAGAGGGCAGAAAAGTCCTGAGGAACGTAAATGACAGTGGGAACAGGCCAAGTCCTGGTATAAAAATTGGTTTTCCACCTCCCCTTGGCTTTCTACCCTGCTTCCATCTCTCCTAGGACCATTTGTGGGATTGTTTCTGCTGCTGACTTTTGGGCCTTGGGCATTCCAGAAATTAACTCGATTGATCAAAACTCAAATTGATTCCATAATCAAAAAAACCTATTTTCGTACACTATCATCAGCTTTTGGAAAAGGAACAGGGCTCCTTTGAGAAACCTGTTGAGGATGGTGACAATACCAATTCTGATCCCCCTAGACAAGGACTTGATTTCACAAGACTAGAACAACAGAGGACCTGGTTCTCTCAAATATGGAGACATCCATGACGGGAATACCGCGGTGCCACAAAGCGATGCAGACCCTTCTCTTCGGCTGTAGGTTCCTCAACGATGGGATTAGCATGGGGCTGCCTCTCAGAAGCCCACTCTCCTTGTCCAATCTTGACAATGTTTTTGAGTGCTGAGGACAGATGCACCCCATGTAGCCTAAGACAGAGGCCCTACCCACTTGTCACATAGTAACAAGCCCATCCCCAGGGTCCTGAGTGTGGGAGCCCACCACGTAGCCTAAGACAGACCCTCCATAAAAATAATAAAATAGGGGGAGATTTTGGGAGCCAGCCTCGAGTCACAGCCAGCCTTGAGTCACATCCTCTCACAGAGTTGTTTACGCCATACCTCTAGTTGAGCCTTATCTTGGCAAAATAGGAAATGGCTCAAAGGGCAGTCTATTCCACTTACTTCAGGAACTGATATAACCAGATGCCAGGAATTGAGATAAGCAGATGTTTTCCAAGTAAGACCACAATGGTCCGAGATAACTGCCAGAGCCCCAGAGTCAGCACAGTTACCCCTCCCTACTTCCTCCCTGCTTTGCTTTAAAAACCCCTCTTTGTGCCTAATAAAGTGAGACCTTGACAAAGTGAGACATTGCTTGGTCTCGTTCCTTCTTTCTCACCCATTTATTTTCAGGTTCTTGGTCCCACAGGTCGGGGCAGGTGTGCACCACCACCTCCTGGCCTATACTAGTTTCTTAATTAATGATTGATGTATAGGCCGATCCCAGGGGGATAGGTGCCACCTCAGTATAAAAAGCAGCTGAGAAAGTCATGAAGAGCAATCCAGTAATCAATCACAGCTCCTCTGTTCGTGCCGCCATGTTCCTAGCCTGAGTTCCTTCCCTGGATGATGGACTACATACAACTGTAAGATGAAATAACCCTTTCCTCCCCAAGCTGTTTTCTGTCAGGGTTATATCACAGCGATGGTAATGTAACAAGACACCCGTGTCAGACCCGGTTTCTCTGTGTAGCCCTGGCTGTCCTGAAACTCTCTATATAGAACAGGCTGGCCTCAAGCTCAGAAATCCGCCTGCCTCTACCTCCTGAGTGCTGGAATTAAAGGCAGTACCACCATGACCAGGTGAAATTTCATATTTATTGTTAGAATTACTTTCTTCCAGGGCTGGAGTTAGAGTTCAATGGTTCTAAGAGCTTGCTTCTCTGTTATAAAGACTGAAGCCTGGGCTCCACACACATCAGGCGGTTTACAAACACCCATAACTCCAACTGACACCTGACAGTCTATTCTAGCCTCCATAGACACTGATATAAACATGCACATATGCTCATACACACACACACACACACACACACACACACACACACACACACATTAAAATTAACTTATTCCCCCTCCACTTTCTCAAATGGAGACCAGCAGGGGTCTCAATGCTGGTTCTAAAAAGAGACACTTTCTAGAATGTTCCACCAGAATAACCCCCCTGTAGCGCCCGCACTACAATCTGTTCCATGAATCAGGCGAAGGCCTAGAGATTTAAATAAAAAAAAAAAAAAAACAAGACAGTGGGTCACTCATGCAACAGGAATGCTGGAACGTGGAATGCCATTTATTGAGGGGAGTGGGTTTATATACTGACTCACAGCACAATGGAAAAGAATAAAGAGTCAAGGGTGCAAGTTCTCGAGCTTAGTTCCTCAACAGATGTGTGTTAGCAAACCAAGAAGAGTACCAAGAACTAGTTGGTGCAAGATATTCCAGCCAACAGCTTCAGGCTTGCTCAAGGTGCCTCGAGGGTCCATGCAGAGCCCTACACCTCCCCACACCCGCCACACACACACACACACACACACACACACACACACACACACACACCTCCATCACCATAGCCCCCAACCCCCTGGCCATCCATGTCACTGGCCCCAGGTTTTGAACCCAGACATCTGCCCAGCAAAAGCTTCAATGGGCAGGACAGGCATGGCCCCAGGAGCCTCTAGGAGCACCTGAGCACCCAGAGGGCAATGGGAATCTCCAAGGCTTTTCCAATCCTTCTGGGACCAGTTTGCTGTCTTCCAGCTTCAATGGGGTCCTGCAGGGCTGGTGTGCAGAAGGCACTGAGAGAGTGCAGGCTTCTGTTACTAGCCTCCAGGCTGTTTCACCTACCTGTGTTACTCTCAGCTCAGTGACAGGGTAGGCAAAGTAACAGAAGGCAGGGGAGAGTTCAAACTCTCCAAGTACAGCGCATATATTTCAACTAGCCATGAGCCAGGGTACACCAGCTTCCCAGGCTGGCAGCCACACACAGAGGGTCCTGGGAGCAGCAAATGGTGGGTCCCTGATGTGGTAGATACTATCCCAACTCAACAGAACCAGGAAGGTGGGAACTAATCAGCAGGGTACTCCCCCCCACCCCACATGCCATATATAGTTATTGAAGCCATCCCATCCCAACAGGTGGCCTTCCAATTATAAATATATTTCAACAGGGGGCTAAGAGATGCTCAGCAGTTAAGAGCACTGGCTGCTCTTCCAGAGGATCAAGGTTCAATTCCCAGCACCCGCGTGGCAGCTCACAACTGCCTGTAACTCCAGTTCCAGGAAATCTGGCATCCTCACACAGATATACATGCAGGAAACCCACCAATGCACATAAAATAAAGGTAAATATTTTTTTTAAAGGAAGTGAGCAGGCTATTTCTGACAGGATACCTGCTGGGGCAGGTTTCCCACACACACCTGGGAGGCATTTGGGTTCCCTATATTCTGACTTGAAACAAAATAACCTTAGGTCATTGCACCATCAGTCAGCCAGCACCTGAAGCATACACTAGTGGCCTGCCTGCATGTTAGAACTACCAGCTTACATTGTGTTCTGAAAATGTCTTAATTTACAACTTTCTTTGTTCTGTGACCGTAAAAACTCTATGAAACTGCTTCCATGTTGGAACATTAAATCTGGGGAGACCTAAGGTCTCTGTTCCAGGTCATGGTCACTCAAATTTGGTTCCAGAATAAACTGTGTCTTACTCTTTCTGAGGTGAGAAATGCGATTTTTGCTTCACAGTCCATGCATAGTCATATTTGACTTGTTTCAATGTAAATGGAAGCAGAGACTTTCTTTTGTCCCAATTTTCCAGTTCCATATAATAACACTAAAGCTTATATTAATTACAGAATGCTTGGCCTGTAGCTCAGGCTTATCACTAACTAGCTCTTACAACTTAAATTAACCCATTTCTGTTCATCTACATTTTGCCACATAGCTTCGTGGTTTTACCTGTCTTTTAGTACATCTGTTCCTGTGGCAGCTGGCTCACACCTCTAGACTCTGCCCTTCTTTCTTCCTGTATCTCCATTTGGTTTTCCTGCCTAGCCTTATTCTGCCTGGCTATATGCCAATTCAGCTTTATTATTAACCAATGAGAAAAATGCATATTCCCAGTGTACAGAAGGATTACCCCACAACATTTAAGGGGATAACAGTCTCCAAAGCATCATATAATCACAAATTTTAAATTTTATTATATTTTATTTTTAATTATGTGCACATGTATATCTGTGAGTAGGTATATGCATATGAGTGCAAGTGCTCTCCCCCTCCACTCCAGCACAGAAGCACTGGATCTCCTGGGGATAGAATCATAGGAGGTTATAAACCACCCAACATGGGTGCTGGGAACTGAACTTAGGTCCTCGTCAGGATCAGTACACTCTCGACTTCTGAGCCATGTTTCTGGTCACCAATCACAGAAATTTTGACAGCATGTTAAGGAAAGAATTTGAAGAGAGAGCAGAACTCATAGGATGGAAAGAGAGAAGAACTGACTGGGGTGAAGACTGATAGGAGACATCACTCCTGGGCTCCATGCTGGAAGCCAGATCTCAAGAGTGGCTGACATTTTCATTGCTGATAAGGTGTCAGTCTCCATTTGTTTTGTTTGATTAGATGCACAAAGAGATAGCATCCCACCAAATGTTTGTGAAATCAGGTCTGCATCCACCCTTCTCAAGCTTCCTAAATGGTCCAGCAAACTCTAAATGAGGGAAATGCCCTCTGCATGCAACCAGCTAGTGCAAGGTCCCTTCTGAGGCTCAGGGCTCTGGAGGAGCTGGAAACCAGCCTTGCCTCAGCTCAGTCTGTTCTCACAGAGACACTGCGAAGCAGGAAGCAGATGTTAGAGGAAACTGCAACCCAAAATATAGACGCATTGTGAGATCTTCAGATCAAAGGCAGATCTGCCTCACCCAAGTGTGGTCTCTTAGTTCCGTTACTTCTTTGAGAAGTCTGTGAAAGACCCCCGCCAATCATATTGTATTAGCTTAGCTTAGCTGCTGCAGCACCATTATGCAGGAACCATTGTGCACGTAGCCCCGGGTTCAGGACAGGGTCAGCAAGCTAGGGCTGCCAAACAGGATATCTGTACCAGCCAGGAACGGAAAGTACCTAAAAAACACCCTGTGTACCCTAGGTAGAGCCATTCATCTGGTTGCTATTCATCTGGTTGCTATTCACCTGGTTGCTATTCACCTGGTTACTATGTACTAAGGGAACTTGTCCTCAGAATAACCCTGGCCTCATTTGAATTGACCAATGGCATCCCTGTAACCATGCATCTCGCTTCTGTACCTGCGCTTGTGCTTCCCTGTCTCTATAAAAATCCCTCTCCCCAGCCTGTGGGCGCTCAAGTCTTCAAGGAGATCTTGTCGCCCCAGGTACCTGTGTATCTGAATAAAACCTCTTGTTGATTGCATCCGCACGAGTGGTCTGGACTGATCCTTGGGCACCGGGTCTCTCCCGAGGGAAGACACTCCTTGAGGGTCTTTCATTTGGGGGCTCGTCTGGGATAGGAGACCCCCCCACCCAGGGACCACCGACCCATAAGCTGGCCAGCACTTCGTTCGTGTTCATTGTTCATTTGTTTGTCTATGGCGCTGCGAATCTGAATTCTGTACGATTCAGCTGAGTCGATCAGTATTTTGGCGGAATAGAGAAGGAGTTGACGAACTCGGACTTCTCTCCCGCAGCCCTGGAAGACGTTCCAGGGGTATCTGGGGCCCGACTTTTTGGGACTCATCTGTCTGAACCCACTACCAGAGTCGGACTCGTTGGGGCCTCGTCCAAGGGGTACGTGGTTCTTCTGGGAGACGAGGGATCCGGACCCTCTTCAGAGTCTCCGTCTGTGTTTTTGCTTTCGGTTTTACGCCGGAGCCACGCTGCGCGTCTGTTTTGTGTCTGTCTCTGTCTCTTGTTTGGTGGCATTATCTTTGACACCCTCCTCTTTGAAGGGATGGGACAGTCTATAACAACCCCCTTAAGTCTCACTCTCCAGCACTGGGGCGACGTTCAAGACACAGCCAACAACCAGTCATTGGACGTCCGAAAGAAGAAATGGATTACTCTCTGCTCGTCTGAGTGGCCAACCTTTAACGTTGCCTGGCCGCAAGACGGGACATTTAACCTTGATACTATTTCACAGGTGAAAGCCAGAGTGATGGATCCAGGGCCACATGGCCACCCGGACCAGGTTGCCTACATCGTCACCTGGGAAGCCTTGGCTTCTGACCCTCCACCTTGGGTTAAGCCTTTCACAATCCCCGCACGTCCTTCCCTGACTCCTACCGCCCCTTCCTTACCACCCCCTCCTCTTACCACCCCGACCACATCCTCCCTTTATCCCACCCTCACAAAGAGTACAGAGACAGGAAAACCTTTGGGAAGCTCTAAGGCGGACAAGGAGAAGTCCAAAAGAGCACCCACTGAGGTGTTACCGCCCAGTCCTGACTCTCCTCTTATTGACTTACTCTCTGATGAACCTCCCCCATACCAGGGTCCGGGACCTGAACAACAAGGAGAAGCTGCGGCTGCGGGTCGGGGCCCCCCGAGCGACCCCCGACCCCTGAAGCGCCTGCCCCCTCGCAAGTGGCCGGGCGACTGAGAGGTCGGCGGGAGCCCCCGCCGGATTCCACTTCTCATGCTCTCCCACTCCGGACAGGGCCGAACGGCCAACCTCAATATTGGCCCTTTTCGGCCTCTGACCTCTATAATTGGTAAAATAATAACCCTTCCTTTTCCAAAGACCCCACCACCCTAACCTCTTTGATCGAGTCCATTCTAGTTACTCATCAACCCACCTGGGATGATTGCCAGCAGTTGCTGCAGGCCCTGCTGACCTCTGAAGAGAAACAGCGGGTCTTCCTCGAGGCTCGGAAAAACGTTCCCGGCGAAAATGGCCGCCCCACGCTATTGCCTAATGAAATTGATGCTGCCTTCCCCTTGGAACGCCCTGGTTGGGATTTTACTACGGTTGAAGGTAGGAACCACCTGCGCCTCTATGGCCAGTTGCTCATAGCGGGTCTCCACGGGGCAGCACGCCGCCCCACCAATTCCAATTTGGCCCAGGTAAAGCAGGTCATACAGGGCTCGGAGGAAACTCCGTCAGCATTTTTAGAAAGACTTAAAGAAGCCTATTGTATGTATACTCCCTATGATCCAGAGGATCCAGGACAGGCTACCAATGTCTCTATGTCTTTTATTTGGCAATCAGCTCCTGATATCAGAAAAAAATTAGAGAGGCTTGATAACCTCAAGGAAAGCTCCCTACAGGATTTATTAAAAGAAGCAGAACGCATCTTTAATAAGAGAGAGACAATTGAGGAAAGAGAGGAATGGCTGCGTAAGGAGTCAGAACAGAGAGAGGAGAGACTTAGAAAGGAAGCTGAGGAGAGAGAGAATGCTAGGGAATGGAAACGGAACAAAGAATTTAGTAAACTGCTGGCCACCGTCGTTTCAGGTCAGGATAGAAAAGGACTTAAGACAGGGGGAGACTGGAAGGGACCCCGAGTGGAGAAGGACCAATGTGCCTATTGCAAGGAACGAGGACACTGGGTAAAGGACTGTCCAAAGCGACCCAGGGGGCCGAAGAAGCCCAGGCCCCCGACCTCCCTTCTGACCCTGGAGGATTAGGACAGTCGGGGCCGAGCCCAGGATAACTCTCAATGTTGGGGGGCAACCAGTCACCTTCCAAGTAGATACCAGAGCCCAGCACTCAGTCCTAACCCATACCTCGGGACCACTCTGTGATCGATCGGCCTGGGTCCAAGGAGCTACAGGTGGTAAGAGATACCGATGGACGACGGATCGAAAAGTACAGCTGGCTACCGGTAAGGTGACACATTCTTTTCTGCATGTCCCGGATTGCCCCTATCCACTATTAGGAAGAGACCTCCTCACTAAATTAAAGGCTCAAATTCACTTTGAAGACAGAGGGGCTAACATAACGGGCCCCAATGGGGCCCCCCTCCAGATTCTCACACTGCATCTGGAAGATGAATATAGACTTTATGAAACTCAAAGACCCCAGGGACCTGACATGACTCCTTGGCTTGATAAATTCCCTCTGGCATGGGCCGAGACTGGGGGAATGGGATTAGCACTGTGACAGCCTCCGCTCATAATCCAACTAAAGGCTACAGCTGCCCCCGTCTCCATTAAGCAATACTCCATATCTCATGAGGCGTATCAGGGAATAAAACCTCATATAAGGAGGCTGCTGGACCAGGGCATCCTCACCCCCTGTCGCTCACCCTGGAATACTCCCCTAAAGAAACCTGGTACTAGGGATTATCGGCCAGTGCAGGATTTAAGAGAGGTCAACAAGAGGGTAGAAGACATACACCCTACGGTCCCCAACCCTTATAATCTACTGAGCGCACTGCCACCTTCCCACACTTGGTACACCATATTGGATTTAAAGGATGCTTTCTTCTGCCTATGGCTGCATCCTATGAGTCAATCTCTGTTTGCCTTTGAATGGAAGGATCCAGATCTTGGGCTCTCAGGCCAATTAACTTGGACCAGGCTTCCCCAAGGGTTCAAGAACAGCCCAACCCTCTTTGACGAGGCTTTGCACCGAGATCTGGCAGATTTCAGGGTGCAGCATCCTGCCCTGTTACTGCTCCAATATCTTGATGACCTCCTCCTGGCGGCAGCGTCAGAACAGGAGTGCAGGGAGGGCACAGAAGCCCTCTTGCAGACACTAGGACAATTAGGATATCGGGCATCCGCAAAGAAGGCCCAAATATGCCAAAAAGAGGTCATCTACCTAGGCTATCAGTTAAGGGATGGACAGAGATGGCTGACTGAGGCACATAAACAGACTATTACTGACATCCCTGCCCCTAAAAATCCCCGCCAGCTGCGGGAGTTTCTGGGGACTGCAGGGTTCTGTCGCCTCTGGATTCCAGGGTTTGCGGAGATGGCTGCACCCCTATACCCTCTCACCAAACAAGGGACTCTGTTTAATTGGGGAGAGGAACAACAGAAGGCATTCCAGGATATTAAAAAGGCCTTGCTGGCCTCCCCAGTGTTGGGCCTCCCTGATATCACCAAACCCTTCAAATTGTTTGTGGACAAACGGCAGGGCTATGCTAAAGGAGTCCTCACTCAGAGACTGGGCCCCTGGAAGCGTCCAATAGCTTACTTATCCAAGAAACTTGATCCAGTAGTGTCGGGCTGGCCACCCTGCTTGCGAATGATAGCAGCCATTGCAGTCCTTGTCAAGGATGCCGGCAAATTAACTCTGGGTCAGCCTTTAACTATCCTAGCACCCCATGCAGTAGAAGCCTTGATTAGACAACCTCCAGACCGCTGGCTCTCCAACGCCCGCATGACTCATTACCAGGCCATGCTCCTGGATGCGGACCGAGTCCAGTTCGGTCCAGTGGTTGCACTTAACCCCGCCACTCTGCTCCCCCTGCCCCTGCCGGGAAAGCCAGAACTGCATGACTGTTTCCAGATACTTGCGGAAATGCACGGGACCAGACCGGACCTGAGGGATCAACCCCTCTGAGATGTCGACTACACCTGGTACACGGACGGCAGCAGCTTCCTGGTGAACGGGTAGCGGAAGGCGGGAGCAGCCGTGACCACAGAGACGGAGGTAGTCTGGGCAAAAGCCCTTCCGGCAGGCACCTCAGCCCAGAGAGCTGAGCTCATCGCGCTAACCCAGGCCCTTCAGATGGCAGAAGGTAAGAGACTGAACGTCTATACAGATAGCCGATACGCCTTTGCCACTGCCCACATACATGGGGAAATTTACCGTAGGTGAGGACTATTAACTTCCAAAGGAAAAGAAATTAAAAACAAGGCTGAGATCCTGGCGCTGCTAAAAGCCTTGTTTCTGCCTCAGAAATTGAGCATTATGCATTGCCCTGGCCATCAAAGAGGCGATAGCCCGGAGGCAAAAGGAAACCGACTAGCAGACACAGCCACGAGGGAGGCTGCCCTAAACTCCCTCAGCACCACCCGAGCCCTTCCTTTGATGTGCCCAGAGGAGACTCAGGCACCCAGACGCTCCCTGTCATATAGCCAAGAGGACATAAATCTCATAAAGAAAATGGGGGCCACTTATGACCCCAAAAAGGGGCATTGGATTTTCAAAGGAACAATCGTTAGACCCATGAGACAAACCTACGAACTGATAGACTGTTTACATAAACTAACCCATCTGAGCCCCAAAAAGATAAAGACTCTCCTAGAATGCCAGGAGATGGGACAATACCTCTTAAACAGAGACGGGGCCATACAAAAAGTAACTGATGAATGCAAAGCCTGCGCCCAGGTAAATGCAGGCAGGACTAAGCTCGAACCAGGGATCTGAGTTCGAGGACACTGTCCCGGCATCCATTGGGAAATCGACTTCACAGAGGTAAAGCCTGGATTATATGGATACAGATACCTACTGGTGTTCATAGACACCTTCTCTGGATGGGTAGAAGCTTTCCCCACAAAACATGAAACGGCAAAGACTGTGACCAAGAAACTCTTGGAAGAAATCTTCCCCAGGTATGGGATGCCCCAGGTCCTGGGTACTGATAATGGGCCCGCCTTCGTCTCCCAGGTAAGTCAGTTGGTGGCTAAGCTTTTGGGGATTGATTGGAAATTACATTGTGCATACAGACCCCAAAGTTCAGGACAAGTAGAGCGCATGAATAGAACAATTGAGGAGACTTTGTCTAAATTAACGCTTGCAACTGGCTCTAGAGACTGGGTGCTCCTCCTGCCTTTAGCCTTATACAGGGCCCGAAACACGCCGGGCCCACATGGACTCACCCCATTTGAAATATTATATGGGGCCCCGCCCCCATTTATAAATTTCTTGGATTCCAACATTGCTGATTTTGCTAATAGTCCTTCTCTGGAAGCTCATTTGCAGGCATTACAGATTGTCCAGAGAGAAGTCTGGAAACCACTTGCGGCAGCCTATCGGGAGCAGCTAGATAAGCCGGTGGTGCCACACTCCTACCAGATAGGAGACACCGTATGGGTACGCAGACACCAGACTAAGAACCTGGAACCCCGGTGGAAAGGACCATACACTGTCCTCTTGACTACCCCGACAGCACTAAAGGTTGACGGCATCGCAGCCTGGATCCACGCTTCCCACGTCAAGGCCGCCCACACCACGGGAGAGAAGGAACTGACCACGACCATGGAGACCATGGAGAATTCAGCGCACCCAAAACCCGCTAAAGCTAAGACTTACCCGTGGGGCCCCTTAACCATTTTATGGGCCTTGTTGGGACGAGGAATTGCGATGCAGGAAGGAAGCCCTCACCAAGTGTACTCTTTGACATGGCAAGTTTGGTCCCAGAGCGGGGAGGTTGTTTGGGAAATCCAGGGCAACCATGCGCTTAACACCTGGTGGCCTACACTCACCCCCGACTTTTGCCAACTGGCTGCCGGACTGGACACTTGGGATATCCCAACTATGGGTCCCCATAACTTACAATCATCATACATGGGAGCCAGACCCCAACAGATGACGGCCCATGGATGCAGCAGCCCCACCACTAGATGCAAATTAGCCCAATCGGGTTTTTATGTTTGCCCCCGAGATAATAGAGATCGAGCCACAGCCTACCGATGTGGGGGATATGAGGCATACTTTTGCTATGAATGGGGCTGTGAGACCACTGGGGACGCCTACTGGTGGCCCTCCTCTTCCTGGGATTTGATCACAGTCAAACGAAATTATACTCCACCTGACTCTGATGGACACACTTGTTATTACCAGAGAGGAACTGAGGGAAATGCCAATTGGAAGAAACCACTGTCACTACCCCTCAGGATCGCATTCACAAGGCCAGGACGGCAGGCCACTGGATGGCAACAGGGGTACACTTGGGATCTCAGATGGTATCTCCCAGGGACAGATAAGGGTGTCACTTTCAAAATTAAACTTAAAGTGAATACAGCAACCCATTCCATCGGACCCAATACGGTCATAGCAAACCAAAACCCACCCTCCCAGCCGGCCCCAGCCGTACCCCCCTTATTAGCCCCTGTTGCCCCAACAGCCTCCTTAGCCAGCAATAGTATCCCTAGTGTGCATACCCCTACTACCACAACCTTGGCTCCCCGCCAACCTGGGACTGGGGATAGACTACTCAACTTGATACAAGGAGCCTATCTGGCTCTCAACCTCACAGATCCGAACAGGACACAAGATTGCTGGCTATGTCTGTTGTCAAGACCTCCTATTATGAAGGGATGGCCGTTCTAGGTAATTACACCAACCACTCCACCGCACCCACCAGCTGCATTTCCACCCCCCCAACACAAGCTGACCCTATCTGAAGCATCTGGGCAGGGACTCTGTATAGGGACTTTTCCCAAAACCCACCAGGCCTTATGTAAAACAACCCAACATATGTCCACAGGAGCCTATTACTTAGCAGCCCCCGATGGGACTTACTGGGCATGTAGCACCGGCCTGACCCCATGTGTGTCTGCTCAAGTACTGAATGCAACCTCTGATTATTGTGTTCTGGTTGAATTATGGCCCAAAATAACATACCATGATCCAGAATACATTTACAGTCATTTTGAAGGGAGACCCCGATTTAAGAGAGAACCAGTATCTCTAACTCTGGCCTTGTTACTGGGAGGTATCACCATGGGGGGAATAGCGGCAGGAGTAGGTACAGGCACTGCCACTCTTATAGAAACCGGCCAATTTAAACAACTGCAGGCTGCCATGCACACTGACATCAAGGCACTGGAAGAATCGGTTACCGCACTCGAAAAGTCATTAACCTCCCTCTCAGAGGTGGTCCTATAAAACAGGAGAGGATTAGATATGATATTTTTACGCGAGGGAGGATTATGCGCGGCACTCAAGGAGGAATGCTGTTTCTATGCAGATCACACCGGGTTAGTAAGAGACAACATGGCAAAACTAAGGGAAAGATTAAAACAAAGACAAAAGCTGTTCGAATCTCAGCAAGGATGGTTTGAAGGATGGTTCAACAGGTCCCCCTGGTTCACCACCCTATTGTCCTCTTTGATGGGTCCCTTGATCATCCTCCTCCTAATCCTCCTGTTTGGATCTTGCATCCTCAACCGCTTGGTCCAATTCATGAAGGATAGACTCTCTGTCATCCAGGCTCTGGTTCTCATCCAACAGTATCAGCGATTAAAACAAATAGACCAATCCGACCCTGACTTCATAGAACTAACATAGACCACATGAATGGAAGATTCCATTCAAAGCCAGAAGAAAAATGGGGGAATGAAAGACCCCCACCAATCATATTGTATTAACTTAGCTTAGCTGCTGCAGCACCATTATGCAGGAACCTTTGTGCATGTAGCCCCGGGTTCAGGACAGGGTCAGCAAGCTAGGGCTGCCAAACAGGATATCTGTACCAGCCAGGAACGGAAAGTACCTGAAAAACACCCTGTGTACCCTAGGTAGAGCCATTCATCTGGTTGCTATTCATCTGGTTGCTATTCATCTGGTTGCTATTCACCTGGTTACTATGTACTAAGGGAACTTGTCCTCAGAATAACCCTGGCCTCATTTGAATTGATCAATGGCATCCCTGTAACCATGCATCTCGCTTCTGTACCTGCGCTTTTGCTCCCCTGTCTCTATAAAAATCCCTCTCCCCAGCCGGTGGGCGCTCAAGTCTTCAAGGAGATCTTGTCGCCCCAGGTACCTGTGTATCTGAATAAAACCTCTTGCTGATTGCATCCACACGAGTGGTCTCGACTGATCCTTGGGCACGGGGTCTCTCCCGAGGGAAGACACTCCTTGAGGGTCTTTCAGTCTGGACCTATGTTCTTGGAGGTATCTTGTCGTTCCTTTTGGGCACCTCTCTATCTCTCTTGGTTTTTGTTTGTTTGTTTTGGTTTTGGTTTGGGGGGCAGTTTGAGACAGGGTTTCTGTGTAAGCCAGGCTGTCCTGGAACTTGCTCTGCAGATAAGGCTGGCCTCAAACTCAGAGATCTGACTGCCTCTGTCTCCCAAGTGTTGGTATTAAAGGCATGTGCTACCACAACCAGGAACCTTTTGTTTTTCCCTTTATCCTCACATCTGAGCTTATATTAAAATATCTTTACTAAACCACAACAACAATGCCAGACATGATGGTACACACCTTTAATCCCAGCACTTGGGGGGCAGAGGCAGCTGGATCTACACATCAAGTTTCAGGTCAGGACTACATAGAGAGATCTTGCCTCAAAATTAATTAATTAACTAACAAGAAAACCCACCGTAACACAAGGCAAGTGGAAGTCTGAAGCGTGAGCATCACACTTCCCAAGGATAAAGGTTTCAGGGCCATGGTTGCTCCGGTCCTCCTTCTGCCCTCTGAAACAGATATAAGGTAACCAGTGGCACAGTTGTCCAATGCCAACTGCTTGCCAGGGCACTCACCATCACAGCCTCTTGTAATAGTCCTGTAAGGAGTAAGGTTTTTCCTCCCACCGCTGGTCTTGTCCCTCCGCCGCGCCAGCCCCAAATAATGCACAGAGACGCTGTATTTGATATAATGCTGTTGGCCAGTTACTTGTTTCTTATCGGCTAGCTCTGTCTTAAATATCAACCCATTTCTATGTATTTCTACGTGGTCTTATCTTACCAGGGAGAGGCGGCTGGCAGTTCTGCTCTCTCCAGACTCTTCATCTTGACTCCTCCTCCCTACTTCCTCTTTCTTCCTTGAGTCCTAGTGCCACCTATCTTGTTTTCCTATTGGCCAACAGTGCTTTATTCATTAACTAGTATGAGAAACATATTTTCAGAATGACATCTCCCATTACAGTCCCCTAACCTTATTTAAGTTTTTATAGTGTATGTATGAATATTTTGCCTGCCTTATGAGACAGCATTGTGTATGTGCCTGGTGCCTACAAAATGAAGAAGAGGGGGCTGGGTCCTCTGGAACTGGAGTTATAGGTTGGAGCTGCCATGTAGACACTTGGAACTGAACCCGGGTCCTTTACAAGAGCAGCAGATACACTGAACAGTATCTGCAGCCCAGTAGTGGCTCTTACCCAGAACTTCTGTGGGTTCAGACTGTGAGACCATTCCCTTGAATACATGCTTTGTCAAGAACACTGCCATCAACCCTTTTATAGACTTGAGGTGGTCATTATGAAAGACTTAAACTAGCAAAGAAATGAAATGGAGCCCAAATAATTGGAATGCAGGGCAGTCTGACCCAGAAAGCTGACCAAGGCCACAGTGACTTAGTTCCTGGAATTAGCTAACCATCTGCAACCTTTCCCTTACAAGGCCCTAAGATAGCCAAATACCAAGAATTTCCAGATGGGACCTAAAGAAACAAAGAGATAGCTGCAACTCCGTTTGCTTAGGCAAGATTGATTAGCACACCCTGAGGCCTACTGACCTAAACAGTGAGACCATCTAAAACGATAAAGAGCATGCTAGAGCCCATGACTCTGGTCACGTACTCAGTGGTCAGAGGGTCATGGCCCCTTCCTAAGCTTGTGGGTTTTGCCTTTAAAAATACCCATGCCTGGAGAATGATGCTTCTCTGTAGCCTGCGTGCTGAGGGGGCCCATTTGTGCAAACAGTTCCCATTCATTAAAGCCTCTTGCTTGTTGCATCAACTGGACTGGACATTGAGTTCTTGGGGGAACCGACCGAAACGGAGAGATTCCTCATTCTGAGGGTCTTACAGTTACATGTGTTGTTTGGCCAGACTTAGAAGTCCTCTCCAAACTAGGAGACAGGGCAGCTGTTCATTTCTCTATTAAATGAAGATTTAACCTTAAAATAGGGGAATGAATACCTATATCTTCAAACCAAGCAAGATGCAAACATTGCTATACCACAAGGAATGATGAAAAGAGGATGTAACCCCCATGGCTGCAACAAGCCAGCAATAAAATTTTATGGGCTAGAAGACATATTGGAGTGAGTTAATCTGGGGTGCACAATGGGAGGCCCAAGCTGGGCTGCTTCAGCTCTTGGGGTAACTACTTATTCCTGCCTCGTTGGAGTGCTTGGAGGAACAAAAGTCACAGAAGGGCCGTGTGCACCTGCATAAGGCAAACAATGACAGCAGAGCACGTTAGAGGGCATGCCCTGTCCCACACCAAGTAGCTAGTGGCACTGTACCCAACTCAGCCACAAACTGCAGCACGTTGAGAGGATGCAGCAGTAGTAGCCAACGGCCACTAATCGCGGTCAGGAGCACTGGAGTATATGACTCTGTCTCAACCTCATGAAGACCTAACTCACTTGGAGT